CCACCTATGCTCCATAACCACAACCTGCCTCCTTGAGGACTTCAGGTAGGCAAGGATTAAAAACAAAGCCAGATCTTCAGGTGGTGTAAATGGATACAGCCCGTGGGCTTAAACAAATCGATTCTCATCAGTCCAACACCCTGAAGGAGTGCTCTACCCTATGCTTTTAGAAGAGGGGGTAGAAAAATAACCCTGGGGGAGGGAGGAAGACCATTCAAAAAAAACAACCCACCAACAAAAATACCAACACCACCACCCCCAAAAAAAGAAACCACAGAAAACCACCAAAAAAAAAAAAATTACTCAGGCTTTTTTCTTACTTATAATTATGAGGCCCAGATCTAACAAGGCCTAGATACCTGCAGTCCTGCGTGTTGCAATTCGTTCATGTTAATGTCGGAGCAGCTCCCCGCAGCCAGGACACACGCAAAACTCTTCTAGGCTCTTTGATGCTGATGACAGAGCGAGCTCCCCAGGCAGCTCTTCTCTCAGGCACAGACCGGACCGGAGTCACTCTCCTCCAATTCTCAAAACTTACCAAAACTTAATAATTCAGTTTTAAGACTTCCCTTCCTTTGACAAATACTGCAAAAGCGACCGACAAATTAAAAAATACCTGGTGCAGATTAATACACACACACTCCAGCAGGACTCCATTTGCCACTCGATGTCCTCATGGGTGGGGCTGGACGTCGGCCGCACTGGGGTCACCGCTCTCCCCTCTCCATTGGTGTCCCCAGAGTCCCCAGGCTTGGGGCTGCCACTGGGATAGTCCTGGCTGAGTCCCACCGCATCCAGGGAGCACTCAAAGAGCCTGAGGGCCCCTTAGAGCAGCATCGCCTCAGTCACAACCAGGTCTTCTGCCGTGTCACCAGGACCTTGGTTGTGGGGGTCAGCACCGGGGCTGGGGGGGGTGTCGCTGCCTGGGACAATGTCAGGGCCCAGGGGTGCCCCCGTTGAGGTGGCCGTGCTGGAGGTGTTGGTGGGAGCAGACGGCCCCTCCTTGTGCCCATAGCCGGGGATGTTTCTCGTCAGCACCAGTGGGGCTGTGGCCACCGGTCCCTGCTGGTCTTTGGGGGGTGCTAGGTGTTGCGGTTGTCTCTGGGGTGTTCCCAGGGCTGCCCAGCCCCCGGGGCCTCCCGGGGCAGCACCCGGCAGAGCAGTGGTGCCGTGGCCGAGAGTGGAGATGGACGATACTGGCACGTCAGTCCACTCATAGCAGAAGACTTGGGGGTCAAAGTAGCAGCTGCACAGAGCACTCAGCAGCCCTGTGTGGGTAAGAGGGAGCTGTGCTGGGCAAGGGGCATCCTCTGGGGGCACCCACCACTCACCGAGCCGGCCTCCATCCCCCAGATCTGCGCCAGGCATGTGAGGAGCTCGTGGCTGAGACGATGCCCATGGGGTGAGCTGCTGTGCCAAAGGGACGGGGTCACAAATCGGGGAGGAGTCTGGCTTCTCCGAGGTGAAAAGCGGAGAGATGGCACCAAGTATGTGGTAAATTCTCTGGCAGTGAGCTGTACTGGGCACACATCAGCCAGGCGAGGGCAGGGACACTCACCCGGGCTTGCCGAACCCCCCTGCGAAATTTGCCTGGGGAGGGGACATGGGAGTGATGGGGACGCTGGGATGCCCGTGGTTGGGGTGCTGAAAGTGCCAAGGTGCCGGAGTGCCAGAGCAGAGAGGGGTGCCATACCTGCTGGGGGGGCCGGGGGGGTGTGGGGTGCCCCCTCCACCAGGGGTGCCCAGGCTGGCAGTGGGCACAGGTTGGATGAGCCTGGAAGAGAGACGGGAGCCCTGGCTGGTACTCAGCTCCACTCTTGCCCCCAAGAGCGTCCCCGGGCTTCAGGGGTTGGGGTCGGGGTCAGTCCCTACCTTGGGGGGAGAGGATTTTGGGGAGCAGAAGCAGATACAGGAACCAGGCCCTTGGGGGGGTCCCAGGAGCCGCACAGAGACACCCACCCTGGTGGCAGCGCCATGGTTTGTGGTGGCTGTTGGTTGCTAAGGACTCGCTTGGGTGTCCTGGGATGGAATGTTGGGGCTCCCCGGGTTACGTCCCACCCCCAGCAACCTCCCCAGCTCCTCCAGGGGAGGAAAAGGGTTTAAAAGGGGCCTGTGAGTGCAGGTGCCTTAGGCTGGAAGCCTTGGTCCAGTGGCAGAGCTGGGACAGCCTGGGGATCAGGGGGGTTGGTGGCAGGATCCCCCGCCTGGAGTGCTGGGATGGAGGGGGCAGGTAGGGCAGGAGAGGGGAGGGGAGGGAGAGGTGTGATGCTGCAGGGCTGACGGTCAGCAAGGATGTGGTTGGGAGCCTCGGGGTGAGGAGGAGGGGGATAGAAAACAAGCAGATGTCCCAGGGGGTGTCTACGGTCGCTCGCCCAGCAGGACACCAGCACTGCACCGTTCATCTGGGGGCACTGGGAGAACTCTCTGGAGCACTGACGCTGGTCCTTGTGGCAGCTGCCACCTCCCCAGTAACACCCGCTGGGAATCCCATCCTGCCGGGACAAGCAGAGCTGAAACAGTCCTGAGCTCTGTGGGGAGAACTTCTTGTCACAAGGACTCGGGGAGCCAACTAGGAGAGATGACCCCCAAGACTGGCTTGGAGGGTGTGGAGAAGGGCTGGTGGGACATGGGTAGGAGGGGACTGTCTGGGCCAGAGCCATGACAGGATTCTTGAGTTGAAGCTGGTCAGCGGAAGGAGAAGAAAGTGCAGCAGAGTTGCTCCGGTGGATTTTGAGAGAGCAAACGTTACGCTCCTCGGGGAGGTGCTTAACAGAGTTCCCGGCAACCTGCAGGTGAGGCCTTGGGAGCCAGCGAGTGCTGGTCAGGGTTGCAGAAGCACCTCTGGGGAGCTCGGGAGCAGGCACCTGCCCCGTGTCAGGCATCAAGCGAGGGGGCAGAAGGAGCTTGGCTGAGCAGGGACCTGCTCACTGAGCTTCCAAGGAAAAAGGAATTGCACCATCTCAGGAGCAAGGTCAGGCTTGGCAGGAAGAGGGCAGAGCTGTGGCTCACACACGCAGGGAGGAGAGAGGGAAGGCCAAAGCTCAGTTAGAGTTGGGAGCGGCCAGTCGTATGTCTGACAACAAGAAGGGATTTTTAAGTAGGATTGTAGCCAGAGGAGCTCTGAAGAAAACATCAGACTGACACTTGTTGAGGATGACCTGACAGAGAGGTGTGGGGGAGACATCGGCCTGTCAGCTCTGTGCAGCCCCTGAGCAGCAGCGGGGCTTTGATGAGAAACAGGCCTTGGGAGAAAGATCAGAAACTGCTGAGTTGTTCCCAGGTGTCAGTGAAAAACAAGGGACAGCTGCAACCCCGAGCTGTGGGACAGTCCTGAGCTGTGAGGAGTTACCGCCGCATGAACAGTGCCTGGGCGAGCAGGGGATTGGTCTGCACAGCGTGTGAGAGTGGTCTCGTGCTGGTAGGAGAGAAGGCTGAGAGCTGCCTAATTGCTGATTTGCTAATTGCGAAGTAAGAGCTTTGGCGAGAGTATAAGCAGGTACTATTGTAAGAATAAAGGGTCTTTCCTTCTGCGCTTCAATGGAGAGTCTGTGCCTCGGTTGCCACATGTGGGAGGTTTGACTGAGCAGGGCCGGCCTGCTTGGCAGATCCTCTGGGACTGATGGACCAGGTGGCTTTTGCTAAATGCACGTCCTAGTGTTTGAAAGTTCCACCCCCCAGTGCTCTCAGTGTAGTTTCAGCAATACACTGTACTGCTCCATTTTCCCAGAGGCTGGTGCAGGACTGGGGATGTGATACACCCCCTCAGTGCCACGTTCTTTGACCCAAGCGTCTGTGAGGCTGTTTTGGAAATGAGTCCCTTTATCAGATTCAATCCTTTTTGGGGTGCCATGTTA